TCATCGGCAGTAATGGGCGAGAAAGAATGGGCGCAGACAGTTGACGTGAGGTGGCTGCGCCAGCAACACTTGTCACTGGACCAACGCTCTCGGTCGTCGTCGCTGTCAACAATGGTGACGGAAGCTGAAGATCCGATGAATGCAACGCTGGTGTCGGAGTTGGCATCGGAGTCGTCGTCGTCGATAACGATTTCGCTCGCGACCGCGTCCTCAAGTCATCACGGTTTACCACTCCTCCTTCTCTCTCTTTCGGACGCCCTAATTCTTTGAATTTGCGTTTGATCGATGTGCTGAGCTTGAGGGTACGTGCCACACCCACTAACGTAGTGTCTGTGGATGGTGAATCACTCCCAGATAGCATCTCTTGCATGGCTTGTAAATTTCCTGCGCGCTGGAGTACACGCTTCGGGGTCGAGGTGTCCACCGACATTACGCGAAGACTGATGTTTTGCCGCCAGTCTGTAGAGCAGAAGTAATCGAGAAACGTTCGCCAGTGCAGTCTGGGGTCGTGTATAGTGCCCGCAGGCCTTTATATTGCACTGCACACGCTTTGTTATCCAGGATTTGCTCCATCAAGGTGCTGGGACCGAATAATTACTTTGGCCTATGGCGAGTCACGACATGACTCGCTTCCCATCACTCAGATGACTTTGTGGGCGCTATGTGGGCGCTGCGCAAACGTGTCCAACTTTGTACTCACTGGCCCGTATGTAAGTAGCACAAAGGTGGCCTAACAGCTTTTCTTCTGCAGTTAAGATCAAGTTGTTCTGTGTCCTGGGCTAAGGCAACCATTGGCCAGCTTTGCCCATCACAAGGACGATCTTGCCTGCCGTCCTTGAAGGATTTCCAAACGACCATATCTGGATTTACAGCCGATCAAGATTCAGACAGTAGGTCATATAGTCAACTCTGCGCCGCTACCCAAGATACAAATCGACGGTCCTCGACAATCCGACGACAATGTGACTGACGCAAGCTGCGTATATGATCACAGCAACACTTGGTGTGATGACATACTACCCACTGGCTGGATTATCTCGGCGTTATACAATGGCCATGGACAAAGGTTGAAAGTAATTATCCGCGGCTTATTCCACGCATTTCATTTCTCAGTTGTGGAGACAAAATTCGCGTCAGCGGCGTACTGTACGCGTTTCTCAAATCTAATATAACAAAGTTATCAACCTTCCAACTTTTTTGTCCAGTTGTGAATGCTTCCCTGCCCCGGCTTCACTTGCGATCACTGGGCGGTCCTGTGGGCCAGCGGTGTTATCTCGACCTACAGTACGAGCGAAGATGGTCGTCCTCGTCAACGTCCGTCCATCTGACACCGTTCTGGGCCACCCCGGGAGGCACCGTAGGCCCAGTGATAGCACAAACGTAAATGGAGTCATTCCCAATTATCTGGCGCCGTTTCGGGCCACCCCTGGGTGGGGTCACAATTCAATGTTCAGGTGCCGGCTGACATGTGGGAGATATGCGTGACAATAGGTTGTTGTTGTCCACAACTTTTCCTCAGTCATAACTAAGACATTCTACGGTCATTGTGTATAGCGACAGGCGCAGTTGGACGTGTCTTCACTGAATGAGCTGGTCGGTGCGCCACAAATCCTTGTCCGCGGAGGGGCACACTTAGCAACGGACTCTCATCTGATTTGTTTGATAGGAACCCATAAGATTTGGTTAACATCTTCAGCGCTTTGCTCACCTGGGGGCTATAGTTGGGCGTCTCCCATCGTCGATTCTCATGACCTAAAAACGAGGTTGACCGTGGTGATGCTGTGCAGTTGAATTGACATATGGGCACATGGTGTAGTTGGTTATCACGCCCGCTTAGCAAATGCTAGCCTGCGGGCGGTCCCCGGTTCAATTCCGGGTGTGTCCATCAGAAGTCAAAGATTTTTTTCTATGTTGCACGCACGAAATGCCTTGAAGTAAAAGCACGACCTGATTTTGCACTTGATGGCTTCAGATGCTCAGAGCGAAGGACATGGACGGGCGAGGATATTGTAGTATTGTTAATCAAGCGATGGACAGGGTGGTAATGTGCGCAGGACGATATAATGACTAAAGGAATATGTGTACGGATACCTAAGGCAAACAGTAAAACAACAATGAAACCAGACAACAAGGACAACGATATCGCATCGAACATCTCACTCGAACTCCAATTTCTCTGGAGCATCGAATCCCTCGACGACAGCGTTCCACTTCCATCGACCTTCGAGGAAGCCTTGTGCAGTGTCATCCAGCATAATCGTATTTCGCTTCTGGACGTATACCTATAGTTGTATTGCGTCAGCGGATATGGTTGGAAAGAAATATATATACAAGCACGCACCGTCTTGTCAGTGACCTTCTGCCGCAAATCAGGGATAGTCTCCGCCTCAATAGGCGATTCAATATACTCCGAAAGCTCCTCGACCGCTCTCTCCAAATCTCTAACAACCAGAAGGTGACCCTTCGATCAATAACCAGGAAAAAGTTGAAACAACAACTAGAACACACCGTTGATTATCCTCAAAAATATCCTTCTGGTTGGTCTTGCCAAGATAATAAGCCATCGCATATGTCCACTTCAAGGTCATACGGCACTTTTCGACCTCCTCGACCGCCTTCTTCATAAACTGCACCTCGATCCACGTCAAGGATGACGTGAGCTGCATGTCCTCCATCTTTTTCTCGGTCTTGGCGTATAGCTCAAGGGAAAGCTTGGCGGATTGTTCGTGATTTGCCCAGCGGTTGTAGTACTGCGCGTATATGATTGATGAGTACGATGTGTACTGAGGTGATGAAGGGACGTACGTGGAGGTATCGTTCGAGAGAAGCACGAGACCGGCTTTGTGCGTCTCGCGCGTCTTGTCCGGCTTTATCGTCAAACCGGTTGCAGGAGTACCACTGTGTACCATGATCCTGCCATGGGCCCATGCAGACCCAACAAAATTCGTGCTTGCACTTTTTGCACGTCATATGGCTACCCAAACCCAATCAACAAAACCGCTAATAAAAAAATAAACAAGATAAAACGTGACGCCACGTACTTGCAGCCCCCATTCTTCTCGATCGTGCTCTGGCACTTCGGACACTCCTTCGTATTACTCTTGATCCAATTCGCCGTCTCACTGTCGTCGCGGCATTTCTTCAGCCACATCTTCGCGACTGCACACACCACGGGCCGATGATCACTCTCCACCGGACACCCAAAGCAGAACATATGTTCCTTCCCCGCCAACGCACCCGTTTCACCCGGGCTCTTCTCCACCTGTTCGCCAATCCCCCGAGCGCCACACGAGACGATCGGGACCACACTCGTCAGGCTCGACTTGCTCGCGGCGCTTCTGCAGGAAACGGTGTTGGTGCATGATGGGTAGGGACAGTACTTGAGTTCCGGGCAAGACGCGACAAAGTGGCGCACGAGCAGCTCTTGGAAGCGCGCCCAGGTACCTGCATTCTCATCGACAGATTCCGATGTGGGGTCGGTGAGTATATCCTTGACGAAGGGATCAGATGCCACGAGGGCACAGCCCTCGGCCATGCACCGAATGCGATGCTCTCCCTCATCATTGACTTTCGAGGCGAAGTAGGCCGACCAGCATCCGGAGCAGAAAGCGTGCTCGCAGGAAAGGGAGAGGGGTTTGAGGGAAGGCGAGTCGTCGAAGCAGATGGGGCAGACGAAGCGGGATGTGGGTGAGGTCTTGCTGGAGGTTGCCTTTGGTGGCGCGGGGGTGGATTTAGAGGAGCCGATGCCGAGCAATTTGGATGAGGATCGTGAAGGGCGTTTGCTGGGTGCTGTGCGCGCTGGGGCTGGCGGCGACGGAGGCTCTTCGACACTGATTCCAGCAGCGACGAGGATCTTGGAAGGATTGTCCATGTATTGCTCGATAAGTCGCTCTTTGTTCCAAGACATGTGCCGCAGAAGCAAGGCGGCTGTGTCGCCCTGTTGGTCACATTTCCATTCACATCGGTTTATCACACATCACAGGTGGACAATAGACTTACATCTACACCAAAGATGCCCCGAATGTGCTCGACGTCGTCCTTCATCCGCTTCTCTACCGCCGCTTGACTCAGGGATTCATAATCAATATCATAGGCCTTGGTCTTGTTCTTCGGAGCAATCCTGAAGTCTTCCTCGTATGTATCCATGTCAAGATCATCTTCAACGTCTGCAAACACGTCGTCAACACGTTGTTCCAGACCTGCACAAAGACATCGCACGACCCACCATCCTGTGTACCGTCCACCATGTCTTCGTCATCGTCGTCGTAGTAGTAACCCTCGTCGTCCGATATCTCGTAGTCTGAAGGCATGTCGTTTAGGTAGCAGGTAGTATGCGCGTGGGGTAGATCGATGCTGAGAGTTAGTGTGGAAGCGCAAGCTGACTGGATTCCTCTTTAGATAAAGCCGATGTCACGTGAATCAGCTAAATGCGGTGAATGCGCCGTACATCATCATGGCGACGCCGATGACAACCTTTGACTCGACAAGACAAGCCAAGTATAAAAGAACGGACGCACAACACGCTATTCGGAACATTGTGGATAACAACGCTTGCTTTTAAATGCACAACCTCACCGCCGTGGCGTCCTATTGTAGACCCGGCTTCGAGGTACTGTTTCAAGTGTGAAGAGAAACAATTCTTTCATGTACAAAGGTGGGAATGGTATCCATCTATCTTTCACAACAACCTACTGTCTTGCGCAAGCGGGCCTATTCTGTTGCCTCGTCATGGTACGACCTTCGCAGATACTGTGAGTCTCTTCTCATTTCGAGCTCATTCCAATTCATTACTAATTAGACATGTCCTAACTGTGCATGCATGCATTAGCAAATGAAATGGTGCATTGCATAGAGTTCCATCGTGGGTAACAGTAACTTCACGACTCGGACTCAGTAGATCGACGACCTATTTTCAACCGCTGCGATTCCTCCCTCGCTCACGCCATTAAACCATGGTTGCTTGAAAAGAGACCTTCAAAAATAACTTGGAGGCTCAAGATTGGACACACCCGGAATTGAACCGGGGACCACCCGCATCGTCAAACACTGCAGAAGATTGTAGGCATGCAAAGCGGGCGTGATAACCAGCTACACCATATGCCCACAAAGCCATGGAATGAGGAGAAGAAGCAGTACTAAGAAAGAAGGGCTTAGGGCACAACGCGAAATTTATACCGCCAACCTTGACGGACCATATCGAAGTTGAACAGGAGCTGCGGTAAACTTGGTGGTATCAGAAGAGTATCTCTATAAAGAAAAGGTATGTCAAGTTGAGTATATGATGCTGCGTGTATGTAGAGTCTTGCGATGAAATGTAGACGCAGCGACCAATAAATGGTAAAAGAAAGAACGTTTGAGTCGATGCCAGTCCATGTGTACCCGAGGGGCTACCCAAATTCTCAGAGAGGATATAATCTTGCCAGACGAAGTTCCAACTTGACTGCAAAGCGGGTGGGACTCGGATAACCCGCTCCACGTTATGCCCATAAAGGGCATGCAAAGAAGAAGCAAGGAAGGGTGGAAGACGTACCATGAAAGTCCCAGCTAGGCATGTCGGGACTTGGCTACGCCCTTAGATCAATTGGACACGGGCCTGCAGCGAGGATATACTTATGGAAAGCAGTGATGCATCAGTGCATTAGTTAATCCAACTATGTAGATTACTTGGGCAATTTCCTCAAACCCTTATAGGTTGTTAATTTCGCCAAAGTGAAGCATGTACACGGCGGGAAGGGGAATCTAGTATCGCAACCAGTGAGGGCTTGAGTTCGGAGCCTGGCTCAGGGAGCCGACTTTGTAACAAAAAGAGACCCAGAGCGCAAGAGGGGCAAAAGTGATAAACCTAGCATTTATCCAAGGATATGGACACACCCGGAATTGAACCGGGGACCGCCCGCAAGCTAGCGAGTGCTAAGCGGGCGTGATAACCAACTACACCATGTGCCCATGGAAGGAAATCTCTATGCGTTTCCCAGAACGCTAATCATCTTGACTCTTCAGTTACGCCTGTCCATCAGTATTTCATTTCCTATGCGTTCATGCCGACAACCAATTGAAGGGATTCGGCGGATAAAGCAGCTACAATCGCATTTTTGGCACTGGCGCCGCTGGCACGGGGGCACCAGGTCCATAATCCAGATCGGGACGATTATGATGGATGATGGATGATGTGACAAGACATTGATCTCAATGATGTCGCACTCCCGCGCCGCCGCCGTTGTAATTTTGTTTCCACCATGTCATTGCCATCTTCAGTTGTCACGCCCCTTCCCTTCCTCCTGCCACCATCTCGTCCCCATCTCGTCTCGTCTCGCGGGCGTCGTGTACCTGCCGCTGAAGCCCCGGTTTGTTTCCGATGCGAGTGCGCGCGTGCCCCTCTTTCAATTAGGAGTCGGCGGTGATCTTGATTTGTTGGCTCTTTGAGGGGAGAGAAAAAGAAACGGCGAGGACGAAGACAAAGACAAAGAGACCAGGTGGGAGCCTAGTAGGCGACGGTATGCCCGATATTTTTGGTATGCATTTCAGCGTTAATCTGAACCGCATACTTTGATTGATCTAATGGGGTTTCAGGCTCAAGGACACAGCACCCCGCGCGCAGATGGCTACAGCTCTCTAGCTAAACCGGTCTAGCCGAGTCATGCGTCGTATTTTATCGTGTATATGTATCGACGGTGCTGTATTCTTCGTTTCTGCCCCCACCACCTCTGTGTGGCCTTGTTGTATGCGCTCGCCTCACATATGGGCGTGGATCCAGCATGTTCAGTTGCGTCATGTCGATGCCCTTGCCATGTCTAGCCTGTCGTCGCATTGTTTCCTTGCTGTTCTGTTTTCTGTCGTGAAGTCGATGGGCTCTTGGGTCGTGTACATCCAGGCATCAATGCCGCCCGGGAGGCTAACATGTATCAGCTGGGCTGTTCCTTTGTTGCTCTTATCACGGGTCGAGTTGAATGCCGCCAAGGAATTGACTAATCTCACAACGGCGCTTGCGCACGAACGGCATCGTGTGTTATACCTTTTGTGATTAATCTGTTCTCGCCTCACCTATCCTTGGATATGTTGTATCTCACTCTACGAGGCTAGCGTGCATGCGGTCTAGGAACGGGATGCACGCATGTGCCTTGTTCTTGGGCTAAACACCGGTTAAAGCCTGCCAGACTCACTGCGTCTCAGATAGATAAATCGGGTTAGTCTGCGGTGGAATGCTCTAGGCGTTTTGTTATGGCTTTACTCTGGAATCTGCACCGATCACTGTATTTTGGGGAGCTTCGTGTCCTTAAGACTAGGTCAAGGCTTCACTTCTGCTCGCGTGTGGCCATTGCGGCACCGGCGCGGGCGCAGTACGATCTTCAGAGTTGATGATGATGATACGGTTCTGTGTGTTTCGCACGATTAGCCTGGAGGTGGCTTCGACGCGATTCGGATATTCTCTCTGAGGTACCGGGAATGTTTGCTTTGTTCTACTAGATGTTCGAGGGCTGCACTCAAGGCGTTGTTTGTCTTGGCTCAATGCGACTCGATTCTATGGGATACATTGGTCGAGACATGACGTGAATGCATGACATCTGGGCTTGAACGCTTTGCTTTATCTCTTTGCTTCTAGATGAGGACATCTTGCCGATATTTAAATGATCGACGACTACGCGACCGTGCACATGACCGAGACGCGTTGACGCGTCTGATGGATCGGAGTGAGTTGATTTAAGCTCCGCCTTAAACGCGTTGACTGCGAATACACGTGATGCTTGTCTTATCACCAGAACAGCCATGTCAAATACTCTTGCGCCCCTCGCAATTCCCGCGTCGCGCAAGAGAACTCTTAGCTCAACTTCAAATATGTCCCTTCCTCCCCTCTCTACTTGGTCTGACTCCCGTCGCCCCTTCTCCTCTATGTCCTCATCCCCACCCCGCTCGTCTTCCCCTCCAATGACACCACATTCCTATGGCGCCCATGCGTATGCCTGTATACGTTCTAGCCCTGCTTTTGGTGTTGAAATTGAGAGGAGAGAAGAGGACGAGTATATCGACGTTGTTGGCAATGGCTGGCGAGGCTCCCGAGACGGAAAGTCCAACGCACAGGCCTCTTCGCCTGGTTACAAGTCTTTATTCGTAGACGCACCCCACATAATGCCATCGACGCGACCCGACGCGTCGAGAATCCCTGCGCAACAGCACCAGAGACTGTCCCCGCAAAGGACCCTTTTCGCTGCAGAACACACCCGACAGCACAACTCTTCGATTTTCACGGAAAGCGAGGATGAACTCTCGATGGATGATGATGACAGCTTCTTTACCTCGACTGACGTTCGTACTACCTTCTTCCGTGTTTCAGCCGAACGCGGACAGTGGAGGTTCGACCCACCTCCGCTTCGCGTGACCGCGTACCGACAGTCAGCTCCCGCACGCACCGTTTCGCCCCTTCTACTCGCCACCAGAACTATTTCAGATCCGTTATCGTCATCTGGCCCATCGCTGCCAAGTCAAATTCTGCCGGAGGAGAGAGGAGAATCCTTACTCGATGCTACCGAGGTTCCTTCGTCCCTGCTGGGACTTCGCGCAGACTCTTCGGATCTCCCGTCGCTCACTAGCGATACTTCGGAATACGACTCTGGCGTTGGCCTTCCTTTGGATGAAGATGCACCTCTACATTCTCATACCCACGCCCACGCCCATGCTCATTCATCGCTCCCGCCCTCGTCGCCCCCACCATCTTCTCTCCCTGCATCTCCACTGATGCGCTCGATCTCGCCGCTATCGTTTGCCCCTTCCTCGCCCGTCTTACCCCCATCATCGCCATTGTCATTCATGGATTCCCTCCCAGTGGAGCCCGAAGAAGATCTGCAGCTGGAGGTGGGGATGGATAACGAGGCCACGCTTCCCGCCGTACATCCCTCCGAATCTCCTTCTACTGACGTCGCACCAGAGGTAAATACCTTGTTCTCTAACTCTACTTACTTCAGCCTGACTTACGTTCACCTCTCTCTTCCTTTACCCTAGCACGAGCACGAGGCGGATCTTGTGGACACCCATTCTGATAATCACTGTGTCCATGCGGTGTGTGTCAGTGGGCAGAATTCGAACATGGAACAGGATGCGGAGCGAGATCCGGGAAGAATGGAGCCTGGGATTGACGTTTCGGCTATGGGTGCGGCTATGGGTTCTCCTACAGCTTTGTCAGCCCCGCTATCCGAGCCTGAACCTGAGCTGAAGCCCCGCTTATCCGTCGATTCTACAGCGGAGCCTTCCTCCAGCGGATCCCCTGCTGGTGCTGATGCCGTTCCCGATACCGGTGCTCCTCTACAACCGCAAGTCCTTTGCGAGGTGACTGTGCCGAGCCCGTGTGAGGATAACGGCGATACCGCGGGGACTTCGCGTATGGAGAATGTGGAGACTGAGTGGACCATTCATGTTGAGTCTCAGGCTCATGCTCGGGAAAAGGCACCGTCAAAACTCCAGGAGAGGGAGTTGGAGGCTCTGAGGACGAAGGATGAGAATGGGGCTGTGGAGGAGGTTAGGAAGAGGAAGAAGGATGGGGTGTCTTCGACTGGGAATGGGAATGCGCCGGCGAGAAAGAAGGCAAAGGTGCATCATGTGCAGGCAGCGGAGGGTATGGAGGCGTCTGGGTCGAAAGACGTCGAGAGGAAAAAGACGGCGAAGGTGAAGACGAAGGCGAAGAGAAGGTTGGAGGATGAGCAAGGGGAGGAGGATGAGAACCACCATAACCCTAAATCCGTGCTGCCGAAGCCCAAGAAACAGAGGAAGAACACCAATGTCGAGCGTGAGCGTGAGAGTTCTGCGGAGACATCATCCTCTTCGTCGTCATCGTCATCATCACAGAAAAAGTCCTCGTCCTCATCCGCATCGACATCCACCTCGAAACCAAAACACAAGCCAGCTGCACCCCCGCCCCAACGGATCGCTAAAGACCCCTCCACGCAGGCGCTCGACGACGAGATTCGCGGCATGCTAATCGAGAGCCTCGCGCTCTCGCGCGCCTCGTGTCTCCCCGCCTCCGCGCTGTACAAAAGCGCACTCGAGACGCGCCCCGCGATGGGGGCGGAGCGGAGCGAGAAGGAGTGGATGGGGATCATTGAACGGGTGCTGGA